GGAGGCCATAAAGGCATCCTACAATTGTAGGAATGACTGACGATACAAATTGCATCGGAGGAAAGCCACAGACTCATGATAGCTTCAAGAGGATTTTCCATTTGGTCGCGATTTAGAATTTAAATGAGTATGTTTACAAAACATAGTTGGGCGAGGTTTTAATTTCTTCCAGTTCAATTCAAATTTTGTTGGCTGCTCATGCGTTGTCGATAATTTCTTTTTGCCTAATGAGACTTGAGACTATCTATCGATATTTAGTATAATCTAAAGCTCACACCTTCTCAGTCTCTACCCTTCAATTTCGCAGCCTGTATTGGTTATTAGGTTCGGGGAATTTAATTAATCTAATTCAAGCAGAAAGCTAAAAAACAAATTAATTACCTTTCTCAGATCAGCTGCAGCCACGAGAATGACGATGGCTTTCGATTTTAGCAGCTCCGCAATCCAGACTTTTTTCCATCTCACATATCTTCATCTCGAGCTTCATTTCTCGGGTTGAAATACTGCATGAAAGCTGTATAAAATGCTCAATAGTACTATTTATACATGTCCTTCGTTAGTTTCATTTCTAACTGGTATAAAAGTGCCGCTAAGTACCTTTAAAATCAAGAAAGAGATCTTAAAAAGGGGTACGAAATTTTACTATCGATTACCTCAGTCTAACAAATCGGAACAGTGCATGTTCCAGGTATCTTTGATCTGCAACAGACATATTATAAATTTGGTGATATTGAAATATATACTATATGCCATAAAAATGTGGCAACATTTCTAAGGTAAAGTGCATTCAGAAGTAACAAAAATGTTCCTATAAGCATAGATTCCAAAATACGCCATTAGCAGGAGACAGGGTAGGGTGTGTTGTAGGTTCCTACATCATCGATTAGACTGGATAATGACAAAACAATGTACAAATAACGCTATGACCAATTAGGATTTAATCTCCTAGTACGCTAGATGCAATTTTCAACGTCAAACTTCTTTAACGTATTTTCAAATTAGAACGGGTTGACTTTTTCTTACCGATTCTACTGAGACAAAACTCTCTGAAGAAATTCGATTCATCTAAGACTGAATAGCCTATTGAACAATCCGATAGATAGTCCAAAGAAGACAGTGGTGTAGAAAATAATTTTCTTTTTTTTTCTGTGTCAGAATTATTCATATCCCACGCTACTGGTATACAGGGTGTTTCAAATTCGACCCTCGTCATTAAGATCTCGGAAACCGTCACCAATACGAGGTCCCTTAAAAAGGAGCAAGGTTGCATATTTAGGTAATCAACAAAATACCGCTTAGAAAGTTTCGAAATTCAACTTACGGTGAGACACGGAAAAATCGAATTTTCTCAAAATCGTTTTAATTTTTTCCTGACTTCATTTGTAGTGGGATCTCAAAATAAATTTCTCACGGACGTCGCCACTTTTACTCCTCTACAAGATGACATAATTAGAATTCCAGTATGACGTTTCATCTCTTGTCCTCAAACATCAACTTTATTTTCGTATAGATAGAGTTTTTAACTGTGATTTCAAAAATGTATAATACTTTGTACGTCAACATTGCCAAACCTTAATTATTTCAAAAAAGCAGAATTTCCTGGGTAGGCCTTGAAATTATCAGATATTCATTTGTTTGGTATACCAGATTTTTCCCAAAATCACTTTTATTTTTATTTCAAAATAAATTGCATGTTGACATTGTTTCTTATTCTTCTCTACAAGATGGCGTAGTGAAATTTCCAATTCGACATTTCTTCTTTCGACTTCCACCTCCAACTTTGTTTTCCATATGGACGCTATATTCGAATTTTGCACTTTTAAATGAACTTTTCTGTTCTAAATTCAGTGATGCATTTCCTTAGTTGGCCATGAATTTGTTGTTGGGTGAAAATTATAAGGAAATAATAAGGTATGGTGGAACCTGAACACAAGATAGAAATTTTATTGACGACAATAACAATATTAATCATAAATAAGCACATGTTCAAAACGTTGTCCGTTATTTTCTTGACAAAGCCTGACTCTTCCCTGTACATTGTTCACTGACACAGTTATTTCTCTTCCTCTTATTTTTCCAGACTCTGTTGCTATGTTCAATTTGAGGTCTAGTCTGGTATACAAAACAAATGAAATTGGAAAATTCCATGGCCTACCTAGGAACTTCTCTTTTTTTTTAAATAACTAAGGTTTGGCAACGACAATATATGACGTATTATACAGGGTGTTTCAGTTTATTGTTGCATAACTTTAAGATTCGATAGAACTTTTAAAATTAATGCATAAAGTCTATATTAACATAAAAATGCGTGGCTTCCGAAATACAGGGTGTTTAAATTTACTTTCTAAAATAGTTTTTTTTGAATATTTCGAACAATATTTGATGTATAACAGTGAAAATTGGTATACAAAGGTTTTTTGGTACGACAAAACGAACCATGGGCATAGTTTTACTGTAGCCACTAGAGGGCGCTCTCTACTGTACCTGTAGTGTATTAAAATGAACGAAAATTTTTTCTTAGTGCAATTTTTTGCTTTTTGAATAAAAAGCTGATTCATCGCACTTTTCAACATAAAAAAACTCTCCTGTGAGTTTTCGTTATTGTTAGCCGTTTTTGAGATATTTCAATTTTTAAGGTTCGATGCATTTTTAATTATTTATGGGAAAATAATATTTTTTTTACATTTTCGATTTGGGCATTACAAGTAATTAAGATGATCGTTTAGATTGTGTTTTTAAACACAGCAATAATTCCTAACTCCAAATAAACACAAAAAAACAGAATATTAATTTGTTTAATTTTCCAATATTATTTTTAACAAATTAAATTAATTATTTACAACTAAAATGCTATTGGATAGTTAGGACAAACATACAAAATCTAAAGTAGTTGCCCGAAATGTAAACCCAATTGTTCAAAACACAATTCACATCTACGAATGATCGAACGTGGTATAGCATTATTCAAATAAGGCCTTATTTCATCACATGCATTCCTGATTCTGTCTATTAGCATATCTCTTGTGGTTACGGGAGCCTGGTACACTTTTTCTTTTAGAAATCTCCACACAAAGAAATCTAATGGATTTAGGTCAGGGGATCGTGGAGGCCAGGCGACTGGTCCTCCACGGCCGATCCATCTTTCTGGATAATTTTCGTCCAGCCAGTTTCTAACTATTCTCGAATAATAAGCTGGACAACCAACAAGCTGGAACCAGGCCAATCTTCTTAAATCTAACATAACATCATTCCACATATTTGCATGTTCAGCCTTCCAAGAAGGTCGCAGCATTTAACCTTGCAGGCAAAAGGTAGGGTCCAAATAGTTAATTACGGTAGATACCAATCGACACGTTCACACTAAATTCATGCTGAACATTTTTTTCCCGAAGCGCATGCGGATTTTCATGCGACCAAGTATGTTGATTATGAAGATTTACCACTCCAGGTCTAGTGAAGCGTGACTCATCGGTCCATAAAACGTTACTTAAAAACTCCCTATTATTATCAGTTCTATCAAGAATCCACTGACAAAATGTGATTCTTCGTTCTCCGTCCCCTGGCTGTAGTCCTTGCACGGGTTGCAAATGGTAAGGACGTCTATGGTCATTTCTAAGAACACGGTGAACATATCTTGCTGAAATTCCTAAGGCACCAGAAACTTTCCTAACACTTGTGGTCGGATCTCTATCAAACTCACGCAGAATCATACGGGTAAATCTGCGCTGACGAACATTTATGTTTTGATCCCTTTGGAGATTTACAAAACCATTTTCAATTATTTGGCGATGCACTCTTACAAATACTGAGCGAGTTGGATGTCGTCTGTTTGGAAATCTTCGTACGTATTCTCAGGCTGCTTCTGCTGCGTTTCCATTTACAAAGCCATACGCAAAATGATTATCCGCTAACTCTTGATTGGAGAATAAAAATGGTATTCTTATAAAACTTACAAAAAAAAAACGGGTAAAAGAAACTAAATTTCGTGCATTCACAATTGCAAAAAACATTTCAAGTTTCAACAGACAACAAAACTAACTGTCAACTAATTGACGTTTAACCTTATTCTGCTTTCAATTTCAAAAATATTTGCAGGCACAGCCTACTTCTAAAAATTATCGAGATACTGACTTTTTAACGTTATTTTATCATAAATAATTAAAAATACATCGAACCTTAAAAATCGAAATATCTCAAAAAGGGTTAACTATAACGAAAATTCACAAGAGAGCTTTTTTATGTTGAAAAGTGCGGAGAATCAGTTTTTTTATTCAAAAAGCAAAAAATTGCACTAAGAAAAATTTTTCGGTCATTTTAATACACTACACGTACAGTTAGAGAGCGCCCTCTAGCGGCTACAGTAAAACTATGCCCATGGTTCGTTTTGTCGTACCAAAAAACCCTTGTATACCAATTTCCACTGTTATACATCAAATATTGTTCGAAATATTTAAAAAAAACTATTTTAGAAACTAAATTTAAACACCCTGTATTTCGGAAGCCACGCATTTTTCGACCAATGTTTATATAAACTTTATGCATTAATTTTAAAAGTTCTATCGAATCTTAAAGTTATGCAACAATAAACTGAAACACCCTGTATATTTGCGGAATCAGAATTAAAACTCCTACTCATCTGAGCAAAAATCTAGTATAAGAAAAAATAAAGTTGAAACTGAAGGACAAGAGACGAAGCGTCATATTGAAATTCTAATTATGTAGAGGAGAAAATGTTAATCTGGAATTTATTTTTAAATACCACTATAAATAAAGTCAGTAAAAAATTAATACGGGGGGAAAATTATGTCCGTCTCCCTAGGGAAGTACATTGGACTTCAAAACTTTATAATCGACATTTTCTTTATTATCTAGATAGGTGGGTTTGGCCCCACTTAAGCGACTTCGTAACAGTTTCCGAGATCACAAGGGAGATGGTCGAATCTGAAACCCCCTGTATATAAAATTATATTGTGTATTAGTTACGATGTCAATACTACATATATAAGTCAATATCGTAATCAACTCCGAAGATATAATATTTTTCGATTTCGAGACTATAATTTTAACGGCTTTTACCTTGGTAAGAGGGTATTTTATGACCCATATTTGCATGGAGTTCTCGTATAATTTTTTTTTCTTTCTTCACGCCCTGCAAATATTGCTACGTTTTTATTAACTGACAGGGATATCCTCCGAATTACCGCATCAGATGTCAATAAACGAAAAATGTCTTAAGTTGACGTTCAATGCTTTGGTAATATTTTGATCTTGGAATTTATTACTTGATCCTCTATCCTTAGTTGCATTTCAGGAAAGTTTAATTGCAAAATCTTGAACCTATGGACTCATAAATTACTTATTTTTACGTTTTATTTATGTAGACGACAAACGATCTGACATACGAGAAAATGCTTTCCGGAATCTTCATCTTCCGTATACCCGCACTTTCACTATTTGAATGAGCGTTGATATATTACGAATATATTTTCTGTCCTTTACAGAAGGCTCGATACCAAGAGGAGGACATGCCTCCTCCCCCCTCCCCTCCTCATCCAGCTGTCTCGGCGGTGTCCAATATTGACAACGTATCATCCAGGCAAGGATCTCTGGAACGTGTCGCCAGCGGCCAACGGAAAAGGCGCGAGTCCATCGAGCAAACTGTTGTCAAGGAGCAGCAGCAACAACATCCAGAGGTGAGTCGTATTTTCAAACTGTTGCATCTGCAAATATCAGTCACTAAATTGTGGACTTCCAAAAAAATCGGTCAGTGCAGTGGGTAAGATTTTTGGTATACGACTTAAGACGGGCGTCTATAATAAGATTTTCTCTAGGTATCCTCTTTTTGCTAATGTAAGGGAGTGTCAAGATACGAAAATTGAATGGCAAGATTGAAACAATTTCATCTAAAATGATTGCAGTATCTAAAAAATTATCACTTCATTTATTTCAGGAAGGTGATTTTACTTTCCACACTGCAAAGAAGTATTGTAATCGCAAAACGTTTCGAAAATGAGATATGTCTTTTGGATACCTACATCACGATTTCTACCAATCTGTCTGTCTGTCCACTAATCCTATGATTTGAAAATTGTCGCTCGGATTTTAATAAAAATTTGTTATCAAGTTAGTACTATACCAAAGAGAAAAAGGCTTTGAAGTTTTTGAAAATGTATCTAGTATTGGCGGAGCTATGTGTGAATGAATAAAAAAAGGAATAAAAATCGCTTTGTGACGTTTCAGAGGCTCCTGCTCATTTATGAAGATATTGAGTCGGAAAAAACTAGGTGGTGAGGATTCTGTGGTGCGGGTGGGAAGTATGTATTTAAATTTTTTTGCGTTAGTATATTTATACGCGTCCAGCTCCGGTAATTCTGTGCATCTATTAGACATATTAGATGCATAGATTTCCCTGTATATTTGCCCGAACGAACCAAAAGAGAAAATCTGGCCGAAGGGGGTTGGGCCTGCGCTTTGGCGCCCACAGGGGCACCCACATGACTTCTGCGCAGTACCATCTTGAAAATCTTAGAATTGCAACGCTGGCTTTGCACAATCTCAGCATGTTAAAGGACCGTTCAAACTATTGTAGGAAGGTGGAAATAATTGAAAAAAAGACAGACGAAGTATATATCGGAATTGAAAATTGTATTTAAAAAGGCAGCCGGTTGACTGAAACGTCATCAAAAAACAGTAGGTATTTCAAACAATTGTGTTTCCGCTTAGCGATCAGACAAGCATAGGAAGTTACCTAAATCTCGGCAAGGGCAACCTTGTTTATTCGAACTGTTTGTGTTATTTTTCTGACAATATTTCTACCGTCCTGGAAAAAATGCCATGTTTTTCTAAAACACCTTGTATACGTAAAATAGTTGCGGTGACTTATTTCAATAAGATATATTTAAAAATTCATGCAACACTGATCCTTCTAAGGTCAAGTCAATGTGGAGTTAAAAAAAATTATTCCTATCTCGGTTTTCAATCAATCAATTAGAGATAACTTTCAACTTTAATACGTCTAACCTACAATATAACTACTAGCTAGCCGTAAATCCAACAAAGTAGGTTAGACATTTAGTTTTTACGGCAGGATCTTAGTTATCTCATATGCTGTTCTCTAATTAGAGTTAACTGCTACTTTAGTACAAACCAAATAATAAAAAGAACGCTTTCCGAGATTGTTAAACCAAGTATATGGCAGCGTGTTCTGATGATAACTGCTTCTGGCAGTAAGAACCTCCAAACTCATTCTACGGAACTTAAGAGAAATTGATAGGCTTCCAGTACTGGCAGTTTCTATTAAACTCAAGAATCTAGGCAGTCGATCGTAAAAACAATCCAGATTGCTTTGAGCAGTGGCGTGTATTGTAAAGCATTGGAGAAGATTAGTTTGGCGAAAGTTTACGACAGTAATTGCAGTTAGTTTGTCTAACTGTATGCCCGATTTTTCCGTTTGTTGACATAATGTGTAGCCGTCTGACCAGTGTTACAGATACAGTCAGTTTATATATACATACCGATCCCATAGTGTAACTACCAAATTATTCGGTAATAGATAATAGAGATCCCTTCACTTCGTATACAAGAAGTCATTATGAACATTTTAAATAGACAAGTAGACTCAGTATCATACCTAAAGATAATGGTTGCTCAGCTGAACCAATAAGAGCTAAGCCTTTTCCATTTGATAGATGATACTATAAAATGTTTAACGGGGGGAAATCTGGCCAAACATTGTAAACCTAATTAGGTAATTTTCTCGTCGTTCGAATTGAATTGTCAATATTAAATATATACGTATACATACATAAGTAAACCTGGTAAACCTTATATTATTGGTTTTATCTCTTTCCCTGATATGGTTATAATCTCAAATAGGGAATAATTTTTTGAACAATATTATTCTAGGCCTAGTCTGTTCCTAGTGATTTAAATGTTTGTTGTTTTTTATTGAAGCCATCGAATAAGGCTTCAAATGGTTACTAGTTAAAAATTTCGTTGAGTTATGAATATTTGAGAAAAACCTATTTCCAGGAAGTTATTCCAGATTTTACTATTTAAGGATCAATGTTTCATCAGCTGACAATTTACCAATCAGAAGGCGTTTTTGAGGTATTGTATCTAATCAATATTTCTCTCTAGGTAGTGGAAAAATATATGATCTGTATAATAAGGCCCTCAAATCCCAATTAAATCAAGATTGTCTTTACAGTTCTCCTAGTTTTGCCGAGAAAAACAATTTTCTCATTTGATGCAGTGATCAAAATTATCCGTTTAGAAAGAATTACTGCTCGAACTATGCATCAAATTTGATAGAATATATTTATGTGACAGCAATTACTGAGCATTTTGTTAGGAATAACAGTGTCACTACTTACTCGAGAAAGATAGTAATTAAATTGCCATTGCAGTTGCAATTAGTACGAGTAGATACAGATACAAGGTGTTTGGAGGGTGAGTAGCCAAACGGCGAATGGCTGAGGCTATTGGCTATTTACAATGCCTAATTAATTTACATTTTGCCTCAGTTTTAAGTTTTAAGGAGAAATAATGATTTTTTTTAGAAAATCCCCAGTTTTTAAATTTATATTTTTTCTATTTACGGTCGCAATGGCACTAAAGTGATTTTATTCTTAAGTCTACTGTTGCTTCACTCATATTGAATCAACATTTGATACAAATAGTTGAAGAACAAGTAACAGTGGAGCAACAAACTTCCTTAAATCAATGGAAAAAAAATGTTAAGTCAACTTTACAATAAGCAAAAAATATAACACAAAAAAAGTACGGGGTTTTCAAATGTATTTAAAGGCTTCTCTAGTTAACAATATTTCTAACGGTATGCCTCATGTAACATAAATAATTAGATAACACAACAAAAAATAAATTTATTTTCAACGATTCGTTATAGTGTAGGCAGCCAAATCATTCGAATTACCTAATTGAGCAAACTTCTGACTCATTCTATCACAGCTAAACCTATTGTTCTCTTTTTGCTCGTCTTATTATAAATCTCTTTCTTATTTCTCGTATGGTATACTGTAGTGTTATTTCTTGTTTCATTATCACAAAAGCATTAGTATTTTTTTCTATTAATTGTTCTCTTATATTCATGGTTTTGGAAAACACTGGTCCTTAAGCATGGCCCCAGACGCAAAAATCAAGCGGGGTCAAGTCCGGTGATCTTACAGGCCATGGGATCGGACCATCTTGTTATTTTTTTTATTGATTTAAGGAAGTTTGTTGCTCCGCTGTTACTTGTTCTTCAACTGTTTGTATCAAATGTTGGTTGAATCTGAATGAAGTAACAGTAGACTCGAGAATAAAATCATGTTTGCGCCATTGCGACCGTAAATAGAAAAAATATTGAAGCTTAAATTTAAAAACTGGGGAATTTCTCAAAAAAAGAAAATATCATCATTTCTCCTTAAAACTGAGGCAAAATGTGTATTAATTAGGTGTTGTAAATAGCCAATAGCCTCAGCCGTCCGCCATTACCGTTTGGCTACTCACCCTCCAAATACCCTGTATAAACCACTGTTCTCTGATATCTCTAGACGCCGTGTGTGTGTGGGCGATATTTATACAATGACAAATATTGGCAATAATCAAATTTTTAATGAATGTATTTGAGTATGCATGTAACGTATCTATGTTTCCTTGATGAAAGGCACAAGAAATCTTCATAATATATATTTGAAAATAGAACTGCCTTTTAACAGTGTTGCTACATCAAATTACTCAACGAAAAGTCGTGAGGTTCAACTGAGATTCTAAAAAATAAACTTTAGGTTGATCGTATTACGTACTCCGACTGTTTTAGTTGGATTATTAGAATCAACTACCATAGGTTGAAATAACAGATCCCTTGAAATTATTTTGACTCAAGAGACATACGGTTTACGGACACACACAATGCCTCTTCACAAATCCTCATTCTTTCATAAGTGCTTCACATACAACGCGATTACACTAAGTAACTCGGACATTAAAATCACTAAATTACAATGAATTTAAAAATTAAATTAAACAATTTATTTTATAAAAATATCCACCAGCATAGTTTGACTTCGTAAATATTTCCTTCTCGGTGTAAATTCATACGTATTATAAAATTTGTATAATCTGATGTGACTACAATATTATATACATAGGTATATTACTTTTACATTGATTGTTAAGTGACAGCATAGCTTCAAGCTAAACGTCGCCCTCAATAAAAGACGTTTTTTAACCCGCTTCGACCCGCAAGAAGTGCGACGATTAGAAGCGAGGCGTATTAGCTGCAAATACGTGTTAAGCATATAGACAATTGAAAAGACCAATTATTTTGCATGATAGTCAAATGAATTGAATATTTACCCGAAGTTTGTTAAAGAATAAGCATTTTGTAATTTGATTTATGTCTTCAAAGAATTCATAAGGTAGATTTTTGCACCGCAATGACGAAAATCAGCGATTTGATTTGACTGACCTACTACAAACAAATATGTTTATATATTTATAATAGAAGCTAATTAAGAGTTTTTTAAAATCTCCACCTACTCAAAAACCGATATATCCTTTTTCAAATTTCTCATGTATTCATGTTTGTTTTAAATTGATGTTCAACGTGAATATACTTGTTTTTGATTGTTCAAGTCCGATCCTTCATTCAAATTAAATAATAGTTTTTTCTAGCTAGCTGATTTGTCAAGGATTTATTGATTAAATATGGAGATAGACAATCTTACACATATCGCATACTTTTTCACTGGTTTGAGAGTTATTTTAAAAGAGACCGATGGTGGTGAATACATCCATTTTTTCTAAAATACCTGCTGATTGAACAATTTTGATCTGCGGATCCAATTATGATCACCGGATCAAATGAAAATATAGGTTTTTGTAGCTTAGCTATGTGATTTATAAAGAATATCTTGGTTTAATATGAAGATTTGGAAGCCTTCTTACGCAAGTCGCTCTCGATAGTTCAGAAGAAATCGAATATGCCAGTTGTGCTTCAGGGAGCCAACAGGGAGCTCCGAATGACATTTTTTATGTGGCAATATTTCGTTGTTCTATAAGTGTACGAGAGA